TCCCCACTAGGTGAAACAGAATTTTTCTCTGAGAAAAACGGTGTGTTTTCCTTCCACTTCCAACTACAGTTTTATTCTATAGTAACCAGTGATGTCCATGGCAGGATACACAAGGATGTGTTTTTAGAGCTTACAGTATAAAGAGAACTCCTAATTTAGCATCCATCAATCCATTGAAGCTGAACAGAGATGTCTTTGATTTTTGTCTCTCAGACTTGTAATTAACATGTGTCAGGTAAACAAAGACCACTGTACCTAGTAAATTAACTAAAGGCTCAGGCTTAAGTGACCATGGCAAAACACTTGAATTCCATTTGTATAGACATTCAGTTTCTCCTGGAAGAGTCGCTGCTCTCCCAGGAGAAATCAGGAGTGTAGTGATATTCAGGGTTTCTTGTAGAGGAGAAAAAATAACCTCGGAATGACTAGGGTTAAATCACTTCATGGAGAATTTATCCTGAGACAGCAAATGTCTATATAGACTGATTCTTAGGTCCTTCAGTCAGGCAGTCAGATAATAGGAAGGCAATAGTAAGAATTGTGAAAAAATGGAGGTTAGTAAAAGGAAAGCAAACAAAGAAACCAGCAAACATCACCTATAGAAAAAGCAAATAAAGGGCACTTTTACACATGCTTCAGGAGTAGGAGGAAGGGGGCAGTGCTTTAATTAGAGTGGCTCTGAAAGCCGCTCTAATTAAAGCACTGCAGCATCTTGTTATGAGCATCCTCATGCTTCAAAATGGTGGTGGGGGTGCTTGAATTAATGCTCATTGAATGAAATGTAGTTCAAGCACCCCTATTACAATTTTGGAGCATGGGGACACTGATACTTGAGACACAGGAGGCTGCTGGAATGCAGTAATTATCACCTTGCAGCAGACTCGATTAATCAAATCTGCTCCAACATTCTGTAATTGCAGCGCATGCACAGGCATCCCAAATGCCCTCCTGGTATATATTCCATTTCTCTGAGCATTGATATGATGCATTGGTAATGATTAATACTCATCTGTGCAGATATCTGGCATTAGGAACAAAGACCTGATCCAACAAAATACATAAACCTTAATTTAATTTTAAACATAAGTAGTTTTGTTGGCTACTTGATATGCTTCTGGATTTGCTGGCTTGAATGAAATTTAGGACCCTTCCCACACTTAATCACATGTAGAATATATATCCAAGCTGAGCTGGGATAGGATGTCAGGATACACTATTAGGACAGCTTACTGACTGCGTTCAATCCTCTATTCAAAGTAATGAAAAAGAGATTAAGTCATGTATACAGAGGAATTTAAAAGTTTTCATCTACACAGTGAAGTTTTACTTGTTAATTTAATATTTATAGACCACAGAAAGCTACCTAAGACCACAATTCAAATTGGAGTAAACTTGAAAAAAGGCAAGCATGATGTTTAATCATAAAAAAAAAAAAAGAAAATGTACTCGGGCATTTTTTGCCATTTTGACATGATTAGTCAAATTTCTATTTGAATTGGAGATTTATTTTGGCTTTACAAGTCATTTTCTCCTCATTGATGTTTCAGTAAGCAATTTTATTCTGTCTTTAATGAGACCTTTTCTGGTTTCAGAAATTTTCAAGTGAGCACTGATGCAGAAATGAGACAGAGTAAGAATAACAATACATGTAGCTCAACCAGATGCATTACAGAGTGAGGGACAGATAAGAAACAAATACACTCTCTTAGGACTTCTAGTATGCCCTGCTGTCATTACAAAATTACTTCCATTTATGGAACAAATTCTTCTCACACTTCCAATGTGCAGCCCACTTGGCAAAAGTACAGTGGAATAGAGATATCCTGACTATTACCCAAGATGAGTTTTCATCCAAATAAGCTTGCATACCCAAAATTCAATACATTAATTTAATTCATCTTTGGATCAGGTTCAGAATGAAGAGCATGCCAGCATGCTACCACATAAAAAACAACAATTGAATGTAATAGAAGAGTTAAGTGCAGACCCAAACCCAAGAGACTCTGAACAGTAATTATTATTTCGGATTTTGTTACTATTGTGATCATGATGTACTAGGAATTTTCAAAATATTCATGTCATAATCTATGCTCTGAGGAGCTGTCAATATAAAGCTGTATAGATAGAGTTTTGGGAAAAGTTAATAATAATGACCACCCTCACTTCAATGACAAGGATGATGGATGATTTTCGTTGGGATGCACTTGTGTATATTGCCATATATTTTCTTGTACCTAGTCTAAACTCTTTTGAAATTACTTAAAAACGTTCCCTTTCACCACTTCCTGAGAATATATTCCATTATGTCAAAAAACATCATTTTATGATTTTTACCATCATAATCCACTAAAATAATTCTTTGCTTAATTGTCCTACCTTTATACTCTATTCCATAACAATTCAGGTAGCATAGGTATTACCTTGTACAGGTACTGAATATTTTATTTCACCTCAGTCTAAACTTTTCAATAATTGTACATTATCATATCCCACTTTTATGACAAATATGCCATTTTTACTTTTCCTAGTAAATCCATCATACTGCTGTATACACAGTTTTGTTGCCCATCATAGAGTCCCTCTTAATTAGTAAAAACATGTTTAGTCCTGGCATGCCTGTAACTAAACAGAGCATTTAAATAGCAGTTTATCTATGCCAAAAGAGAGAGATGGACATCTTAAGTGTACCATGACACTTTTACTCAGACAGACCTAAAATGAGGTAGTTTATTTTCATCCTCCTAATCACTATGACTTTCTTCCTGGAGTGCATACAGACATTCAGGCCCCAGCTCTAACTCATGGCACATGGCACTTTACATAAAACACCATGAATTACAGCTTCTACCCAACCCAACAGACATTCACTTGTTGGGTCAGGGGTACAGGGGAATTGAGCCTGCCTGCACTTGCCCTGGCCAGCAGGTGGGGGTGCTCCAGCCCCTCTCCCCTGCCCTATCCTCCCTCCCTTCCAGCTCCCAGGCTGTTAGTGTGGAGGGACGGAAAAGGGAGGAGCATGGAGCTTCAGGTTAGACTTTGGCCTGAGTTGGAGGCAGGGGGTGCAATGGAACCGCTTAACTTTGTGCCCCCCCCCCAGATACCCCAGGTAGGGTATTGGGGGGACCTGGGATGGGGCAGTGAGGTAAGGGGGCTGCATTCTATTCCCTTCCTCCCCATCAGCTGTTGCTGCCACTCTCCAGAGGCCTGGCTGAAGCTGGGAGGCAGGGCAGGGTGCTATGGAGCCCCTTCACCTATGGGCCCAGCCTCAATACCCCAGCCAGGGTAGCTGGGAGGGAAGGGCCAGCAAGGCAAGGGGGCTCTGTTCCACCCCCCACCAGCTTCTCCCTTCCCCTGCCCTCCCCATTGACAGTCCCACCCCTGCATGAATATTTAACACTTGAGAGAACACTATTTCTCTAAGGCACTCTAAATCAGAAAGCCTTAATTTAATATCTGATTTGGTGAGGGTGAATCTTTTGCAAAATCAGACATTTGAAAAGCACCCTGCAGTCATGCACATGTGCTAGGTCACAGCTGTAGAATGCTTTCAGGAGCCAGATCACATGAAAAATGTCACTTCTGTTTGCACCCTGGTGTCTTATTTGCTGTCCGCTCTATGTATAGTGAAACAAGCTGTTGTAGCTGAGTTTTGCTTATTCCTTTTTTGACTGAAAGTACTTTATTGGAAAGTACCTGATGAAAGTTAAATGAAATCAAAATGCCCAAAACGTGTAAATGACATATATTTGCTAAATGCATTCTACTATTTTATAACTGTAATTTTTAGATCACATATTACTATTTCTGCCTCTGAGTGGATGAATATAATTATTATAAATAGTCAAGCATGGTATTCTGCTTTTCCCACAGAGAAGGTGGGAGCTATTTGTGGAATTAAGAAGAGGTAGAGTAGAACATTATGGAATTTTAGGCCATATTACCTCTGTTTCCAAGTCACCAAGAAATGGCTTTTCTTAAGAAATTACTGCTCCAAATAAACCCCCTCTCCCCCGAACTAAACTTACATTATAGACCGGGGTGAGCAAAATACGGCCTGCAGTCTGGATTCAGCTCACCAGGCTATTCTGTTCAGCCCACAGGCCCCCCCAAAATTCAGCAAATTAATATTTATTTTCTCCTGGCTGCCTGTTAAAGATGACATGACCTGGGGCAGTAGGACCCAGAGAGATCCCAGTCCCAGCATCTCAGCTCCATCCCACCCCCAGCTATTTCCCTGGCTTCCTGCCCCTGCACTGCTCCAGCACTACATGGCCCTGGGCTACATCACTGGACTGGGGAGCATGGGCTTCACTGGGGCCAGGAGCAGGAGGGGTGTGCGTGTAGGCAAAGACAGTGTATGTGCGTGCGTGGGCGGGGGCAGTGTGTGTGTGTGTGTGTGTGTGTGTGTGTAGGCAGAGACAATGTGTATGTATGTGTGTGTGTAGGGACAGACAATGTGTGTGTGTAGATAGGGACAGTGTGTGTGTGTGTTTGTAGGGTGACTCCCAATTGCACACACTGCCATACACATGCACCCCCCCTTACTCTGCCATACATGCAGACCCCCACACCTCACACATCTCAGCCACCCCCAACAAACCTGAGACCCACCCACACCCCACATATTCACACACACACCAACATGCTCCTTCACCCAACCCCCACACCTATCTACCCCCACAGACACATCCACACCCTCCCCCACACCCCATATAACCTCTTACCAACAGCCCCCCCAAACCTATACCCACCCCCCACAACATACATGAGTAAGACTTCATTTTAAGCTATTGTGCAGTCACCTCTGTGTACAATACACAAACACATGTAAATCAGGGAAAAAGTTTTTTTTTTAAATCAAATTAATGTAAGTCATAGATGTTTTCTTTTAGAATATAATTTGGTATTTTTCTGGTTCCAAGATGGCAAAACCCCTTGCTGAAAGGAGTACTTCCAGGAGCAAGGGGAGGGACTTCTGGTGGCAAGGGTCAGGGGCTAGAGGGCGGGACTTCTGGTCACAAGATGGCAACCAGGGGGTGGGGTACCTGTCAAGGGGTGGGGCTAGCCATACAGCCCTCGACAGCTTGCCCAAACTCGGTAAGTGGCCCTCTGCCTGAAATAATTGCTCGCTCCTGTTATAGACTATGGTTGGTTATAAAGCTCCCACTACATTCACACAAAGGAAGGTGCTGTGTTCTATGCCTATGCTTTTGCATGTCACATTTTCTCCAACCCCACAAAAACAAAAAAGTGATTGCCTGAGGAAAGGTGCAAAAAGGGAATAAAATGATATGTTTCTTAGAAATTTGGGGTGGAGCCTAGCTAGCCAACACCTTAAATCTACACTTCAAATCAAGATTTGGGCTCAGAAAGTTCCAAGTTCATACCTATTTTTACATTAAGTTCAATACAAACGGTTGCATGTTTTGTAAGGTGTAGATTCATATCTGAAATATAACTGTTATATTTAAGAATGCTCATTTTTGAGGGTTTGAGTCAATGAAAGAGAAATATGAAATTTATGGTTTTGGTTTCTCCCATCTCTGTTACAATTCTGACCTGTACTATAAAGCAAGAGCAGAGGAAAGTAATTCATTTAAAACTTTAAAGGTACATGACTTCATTGAATGAGAAGTAGCTTGAATGTCTTAAAGATATGAGACTTTTTAACTGAGTATAACCTAACAGTGGATGGATTGCAAGACGATTCTTTCCTCTTTTGCATGGCCAAGGATAGAAACTAATTAAAACTCATTTGTTATAAAAGATTTATAGTTATGGAAATTAACCTGACTATATCAAGATGTTTGAAGATATTGAATTTTTCTTTCTATAACAGGATTAATAAAATGAGGAACTCGATTCATTATAAATTGTAGGGCTTGTGAATACACATAACGGTATTAAAAATAAAAAGGAAGTGTTTTAATGAGATATATTAAGTTTGCCTGTAATAGAAAGAACAACAAATAAGTGCCAGTTTTTCATTATTACCCTAGTATGGATACCCATTTTCAATGATTCAAACATGCAAATGATTCAATAGTACAAAAAAATCAAAACTACAGAAAAAATCTACATTCTTGTACCAGAAAATTAGTGGTCACAAACACATTTACACACTGACTGATGTCATATATTCAGATCCTTGTTGTCATAAATTGGCATGGTTCTTAAGTTAATGGAACAATGCTGAATATACCACCTGAGGACTGGTCCTATTCTCCATTAGTATTATTTGTAGTTCAGTAGTGTTTCAGTAGGGATCTCCAGCTGAGATCAATATCTATTATAAATAATCAATATCTAGCTAATATATAGACATACACTTATGGACAATTACTTCCCTAAAGACTTGACCAGCCAAACAGGTTGGCAAATGATCAGAGGGAAAGGGAAACAGGAGAGGTGAAAACTTGATTTTAATCTTTTAGAGATGCTGAGATGTTTTTAGTAATAGCTCTTCTGCACAATTTAATGAACATTATTTTAATTCAGCCCAGGGAACCTTAAAGGACTATTCCTAAGTTATATGCTAATTTTGTCCAAGACATTACCAAAGATGTGGATGGTAACAAGGAAATAAAAGGAAAATCATTGACTTGTTCTCTATAGGAAAGTTCCCCCTCCTTTTTTTTTCCTATTAAAATGAATAAAAACCATGATCAGACTAAAAACATATAAAGTACTAAAAAAAAAGTCCTTAAAAATACAAAACATCATACAGTGGGGATTATTCAAACAAAAATAGGTAACAATAGTATGCAAGATGTCTATTAGGAGACATAGCTATAGAAACTTACGTTTAAAATTATTCTGACCTGTCTGGAGCTCATTATGTATTTAAACACACAAGCCATGTCCAGACAAGCACAGCTGTGTGGTATATGGTGCTGCAGACGGGTCTACAGTGCCACACACAATACATTCAGGCTTTCCCCATGCTGTGGGGGGGGGGTTATTTTGCAGTGTGGGGCAGGGTTTTGACCTGGGAGATCCCAGGGTAAAAAAACCCACACAGAAAAAAAACATGGTGGCGCTTGTGGAGGCAGCACATGCCACCCAAAAGCAGAGTGTGGCTGGCTGGAGCCACACTCCAGCTGCTGGCCAGGCTCCCAGCTGTGCAAGTATCATGGCTGCAGCTTCCCTGGCCTCCAGGACTCCAGGTAAGGCTTCTGGGGCCAGCACAATTGCTGTCCCCAGCTGCCCCTACCTGACCCGAGGTAGCCAGCCGTGTGCCAGAGCACGTGTGGCACAGGTATTCCCCAGGGAAAAGTAGCAGTGGCACAAGGTCTGCTGTTGCTACTTGTCCCTGGGGAACTAAGCATTCATGTCATCTGGACGCCGCTACAGAGTTCTTCTTTACAATTATCCATCAGGCACAATTACTTCTTTCTTACATTTTTTTAAAACAGTTATGGCTGCTTCATCCTATGATAATTCTGATATCTTAATATAATTACTTGGAAATTGTCATGTCCAGTTATCATTAATTCCACTGGAAATAATGACTTCCCGTTTCCACAGATAATGGCACAAGGTGTTTAGTTACATACCATTGTGCTCAAAGGGAAGATAGAATGAAACAAAACCATAGTTAGAAATGAGATTTCCTATGCATTCACAAATCCTTCAAGCTAAACTGTGGTTTGATGTCTCTTGGTCACCTCATATATTGGGGGTTAAGTTAATTAAAAGAGTTGCCCTACTCTACTAAGGGTCTCTGTAGACTAATTATTGAAGTGCCATGGACCATTAAAAACCTACAGCAATGGAAACTCATGAAAGGGGTTGCTTATATTATGAACATTCTGGTATTCAATGGCTTCTCTTCTGTGGTAAAGAGCATACACGGTGATAAGGAGACTGCCTTCTTTACTGCTTTTGTGCCCTCCAAAGAGAGGAAAAATGAAAACCAAAATGGTATCCATAGAATGGGATATATATATTTATTAGTTCTTTTGTATAGTGCCTGCATATATTACTTATAATGAAAGTACAAAAGGTCCTATTCTTTCTTTTCTTATGTTTCTTTCTTCTTAAGCAATGGTTGCATACAAACATCCCAGTGTGAATTGCTCCCATCCCCCATCCTGAAGGAAAAAGCTCTGGCACTTGGGTCACACCCTACTGCTCCAAACTCTGCCCCAGTTATCTCAGGGATAAGGAAGCCTAGCCCCTCTCCTGCCTTCTGCTCAAGGCTGCAAGGAAATGAGGGGTACTGAGGCAGGTGTGTCTCCTGTATGAGAGAGACCTCTGAAAACCCAAGACTCTGGGCCAGATCACCACACTTCCAAGACCCCCTTCTGAAGCATCCCAAGACTCACATTCCTAAGACTTGGACAGAACCTGCTGAACGTAGTGGGGGCATGGCTAGCCCAACCACTATCAGCAAATAGATGAGAAGTATTAGCTTGGGGTATGAGTGAGCATTGCTGACACAGCTATTGCCAGCAGGTGGATACCCCTGAAAAGTCTTGTGCTTGGAAGGAGGGGCTATGGCCAGCTGTGGTCTAGTCATTCTGAAAGGGAGGATACACCTAATCAGACCCAGGTTCAGGGGGAGATGGAGGTACGAACCAAGACCCACACCTACTCACCCTGACAGACAGCCTCTCGGCCACATCCCCACACATCTGCTTTCTGTCAGACTTCAGACAAACAGAGCTCTCCCTCTCAACTTCCATGATGTACATTCCTGTTGTTGCATTGTACAAAGAAATATAGAATAGGTAGTAACTTATCCCTCCAGAACCAAAAGAAACCTTGTTCAGTTTTTTTGGAGGGAATACTGGAAAATTATTTCTTTCAGGATGACTGCCTTTATTGCCAATGGAATTTTTTTTCATAGCCTTAAAAGGTAAGAGTTACGTCAACTTAGTGCTTCAAAAAAATCCCACAAAATCTCATTTTTCCATAAAATGTCTTATGTTTGATAGCTCTATAAATGAAGGGAAGCTACGTTACTGATCATAAAAACATACTTTTTCATAAATAACACTTTTATGTGTCTGAAGCACAACTTCATGTGCATTACTAAAACTGTGAAATAGCATTATGCTTCCCACAATGCATTGGAGACAAATGCCCTTTGATAAAGGCTTTTGCATATTGACCTATACCTGTGTTAAACACTGTATGGTGTTATTGAACAATTTTATTTGATATATTTGCCATATTTTACACTCTACTATGTGTGTCAAAATATGCTCATACAGAAAATGAACAAGAGAACAATGAAAAACAGTTTTATTTCTAGGACTGTTTTATTTCTAGGACTGACAACTTAATTGGAGACAGATATAGAAAGAAGCTTATGCATTTAAAATTTAACTTTCGGTTCTGAACCTACCTACTGTAATAATATCTTATCATTTAATTATTAATAGGCTTTGTTAATCCTTAATTATGCATTATAAATTATTCTTTTATAATTTTAAATAGATACAATATCTGATTGATTTGACAAAAATAACCCTCATATTTAATTGTAGATTTGCATAAACTTGCAGCAGTGATATAATTCATAGTGATCCATTAATCATTGTGGCAGCAACTAAAGAAGCAACAACAGATCGGAATCACATCAGATTAAATTTAGTAAATTACAGCCATCTTGGTCTGCGAAGGTGTATCTTATTAAAAATAAGAATAACAACTCTGATTTGGAATTGTTGAAAATCTTGCTTAGATAAAATCTCATATAGCACGCATCAAGCCACTTACATAGAGAACAAAACAGGAGCAAACAAAAAAAAACAGAATAGAATTATGTAGACTTTGGGTTTGAGAATTCAGCTAAAAAAGGAAACCTTTGGTTCCAGTAGTTACATGATAATTATTGTTTTAAAACAAAGTGGCTCCTTAATATAAAATACTTAAGGCGGCCAGGGACAGGGTTGCCAAACCAAAACCTTTTTTTTTTTTTTTTTACCAACAATCTACACATTTTTACTGACAACCAACATTTTTATTGATATATATCTTCATTGTTGAATGTTTTACATAATATAAATGTAAAATTCAGCCAGACCCTGGACAAAGGCCAGGTTCAGATATAGAGGTTTAACATCAAACATCATTGGTGACATGTAGGGGGTGCATGCAGGTGCACATGCACCCCCTGAATGTAGCAGTGCACTCCCTACAGCACCCAGCAGCATCTGTGGGTGGTTAGCGATCACTGCTGACCACCACCAATGCATCTGGTGACATCTGCAGGTGGTCACTGACCCCTGGTTGGCACTCACCACCTGTCCCACCATTGCCAGCTCCAGTGGCATCTGTGGGGGCTTCCTGCTTACTGCCGCTGCACTCCTGCTGCTGCCAGTGCTGCTGTGCACCACCCTGCTGCCAGGGGCATGCGCTGTTCCTGTCAAATATAGTAAAATATTTTGTTGTCAGTAAAAAGTTTGCAGATGGTCAGTTAAACAAATTTCTTGGGTTGGCAACCCTGCTTGACTGCACCATTGGTTTTATACTATGCTCGTCCATCCTTCCGGGATCCTGTGCTTGACCTCAGACCCTGATACTCCCCAACCACAACCTACTCCATGCTGTCCATCCTAGTTTACCTCCTAGCCTTATCTCTGTCAGCCCTGCTCTTTCCATCCCAGCATGGACTACCAAACAAAGGATCATTGTGTGCCTACTTGTGAGATGAGCAGTGTTATAGGCCTAGGGGGTGCATCAGCAGCAAGATCATATGGCTAAGGAGGCAGGGCAGGGAGCTACAGAAAGTTCCATGAGCCACAAAGCTCAACGGACAGCTGGTAAACCTAACCAGGGAACACAGACTGGATCCAAAGCACTCCCTTTTCCATCTTACAGACCTAACTAATAGAAAAACAAAACTCATTTTGCTCCCATGATCATGCATTCCTACTACACAGTGGCCCAACATCAGTGAGGAGGGGATGCAACTCCATCCTCTTACCTGAAGAATGTGGATGGATAGGGGAGTATAATGGACATCCCTGACACAGATCCAAAGAGAGATGATAGTTCAACCACAACCCTGTTCTCAGCATTTCCTACTGGCTAACTGCAGGAACCTCTCATAGGTGACTAAGTTTGTTTTTTTGTTTTTTAATGGTCTTCTAACATGCTTAGTTTTTCCTATGCACTGTGTAAGAAGCAAGCATGCCAAAGACTATGGAGAGAAATAGATTCAACCTGCTTTAAAAGGGGAGGGGTAAGTGCTGCCAGCGAATATGCATTTGATATTACAATTCAACTTATATTTTCTTGCTCCTATAGTGATACAAGATAGTTCAGTCAATGCATCTTTACCACTGAATGGCATAGCTTTGAAGTTTCAGGATATCATTCAACACCAATATAACCAAAAAAGCTGCTTATAACTCTGGGCTTTAGGTGCCTGAATTATAGGTATCATTATCTTAAATGTATGTATGCCTACATCCTATAACAGATATGTCCCTATGGGCACGTGTACATGAGACATTTAGACTAGGGACAGAAGTTACACATAAACCAGTTTAAGTGATCAGAAATGCATTTAAACCTGTAACAGAACAGAAGCTCAGTGCACATAAACCAGTTTCAAAATGTCTGAAACTAGTTTAAGATAAACCTGGTTGAACATAGTATCAGACTTAACTGATTTGGGACAAATGCATTTGGGAAACTCCTGTCCCAGACCCCTTCCTGGTTAAATAACAGTCCCCCAGCATGCTTTCCAGCCAGGTTTGGGCTGGGTTCTGCTGTATGCTCCAGAAATCAGGGCTGGTGCTACCCCTCTGCTCCCTAGCTGGAGTAGTGAGGGCTGGCTGGGGGGTGGGGATGTAAACACAGTTGGGGATGCAGTGTAGTCTGCAAGGTGGGAAGGAACACCCCCAGACAAACCCCGGCTAGGATCTGGGGTCAGGGAGGGGGAGAGGGGCTTTCCCATACTCAAACTTATCACTGGCTGCAACTGTGGACTACAAATTCCAGAGGCAGCTGAAAGCAGGAATAGGAAGTGATGAGCAACCCTGAATAGTCCTGCTGGTGTAATTCTGGACTGCAGAAACCTTGGGGGCAGCAGGCAGAGGAAGTGAACACACAGCCAGAGACCTATCCTCTTGTGCCCCCTGGCTTCTGGGTTAAGCCACTGCAGGCATGTGGCTGCATTTCCTAAATCAAAGGTAAATGTCTGTTCACTTCTGTTTCAGTTTAATCTATACATCTTAGACTAACCTGCAAAGACTGAATCGATTCAGCCATGGGCTTTTTGACTATCTGTACCTAGCCCTGATGTGCAGAAGACTAATTCTACTGCACATTAGTGAGGACGGCAAAACCCAGGCTAATGCACTAATGCATAGTAGAAAAAGTGGTTCAAGTGCACTAATGCAAAGTAGTGCTGATTACAGCACATTACATTAGTACATGCCATTACAGATACTAAACTTAATGCACTGTAATTATGGCACATTAATGCACATGTAGACACACTCTATGTGGGTGAAGTGGTATGTAAGTAAATATTATGTGCCTAAATCCAAAACAGCAATGCTGAACACTCTTGTTTAGCTGCTTTCTAATGAAGCCTGTGATTAAGCTCTAATGCTACCTCAGTCATCAACAGCAGAGTTTCTCAGGTGCCTAGAGTTCTGCTTCAAGCCCTCAGTCTATAAGAAGATCTATAACTAGCTTGTGCCTAAGGAACCATCTATTTATTCTGTGTTTATACAGAACCTAGCACAGTAATGGGGGCTCTTAAGTGCTACTGCAATGCAAATATGCAACACCTTTCTTCCATTTGCTACCCATTAGTAGTACTATTAGCAGTACTATTAGCAGTACAATTGACATAGACATCACTTTTGCAGAACAGCTGCAGGTCCAAGAAACTCTGAAATATTTTGCCAAAAAAATTCCTGTAAACTGGAAAACTTGCTTTTTAGCAAGCCCTACTTAGCGGTTTGTAGAGAATCTATGTTTGGGTCTAAATGTTGTGCTCTGCTAGCCTACTTTAAAGATGCTCTTATGAAAAGCTACAGTGACAGATACATTTCTGTTAGGGAACTTGGCTTGGAAAACATTGCTTTGGAAAGTAGTTAAAAGAAGCTTGGTTTAACTCTCACTGAGTGTGTTTACACATCCATTTCAATGCATAGTAACCTATTTTACTGCTTATTAGAGTGTCATGGCAAAAACCAAGTTAATATGCTAATATATAGTAAAACTGAGCTAGTGCACATTAAGCATTACTAAAAAAAAAGT